CCCCCTCCCCCGCACAGCCTGGGCCCGGGGAATTGCTGGGGGGCTGCAAGGGACCCCTCCCCACCTCCATGCAGCCCAGCGCCTTTCTTGCTGGCAGGAGCCAGCTCCCTGGGTTGGCCGTGTGATCACTCTCCAGAAAACACCCCAGTGGAAACTGCATGAATGATTGATAAGAGCTGAGAGCTGTTTAATTTTTTCCCCCTGTTTAATGGCTATCAATAATTTAATACGCTCTCTGTATGTTTTTAAGAAATAGCACCCATTTTGCCCGTCTCCGGTTTAGCGGGCTAAATGATTTAAGTGTTGGGAACAGGCTCTGAGGACGGAGGCTGAGCAAGTCAGAGGGATCTGGAGGCTGGGGGTGGGGGGAGATGGGTTCAGAGCCAGCCAGCAGCCTGTGGCCCGGGTGTGTGTGCATGGGCGTGTGTGTTTGTGTGTGTGTGCGTGTGTGTGAAGGTGGGAGGGAGGGAGGAGGGAGGGGGCGGGTGAAAGCCAGCACCTCTCTGCTAAGAGCAAGATAATTGCTTTTCCGGGTCTCACTGAGCAGCAGCTGAACAGCTGTCCGCTCGTCGCCACCCCCCCCACCCCAGTGTCGAGCTTTTCTGGATGACTCTGGGGGGCCCATGGGGGCTTGGAAGGAGCTTCAGCTAGTACTACTGGGGGCTGAGAACACCCCCCCCAACACGTCTTTGCCCCCTTCTGAAGGTTTTAAGTCATTTTTATTTTAATGATGCAGTGACTCCCTGGCCAGCCTTGTTTTCCAGATGGGGTAGAGCTGATGTTGGAGCAGGGAACTCAGAATCGCTCATCTCAGGGCTCCCAGGGACCAGGAAGGTCATCTGCCAGTGTTCCCCCAAACTTCCCAGATGCAAAGGATCCCCTGGGAGGACTTGTTAAAAATTTAAATTTCTGGGCTGCGTTCCAGACCCACAGCCTTCCCTTCTCTAGGGAGAGGCCTGGAACGTGTGGGTTTACCAGGTAGCCCACCCAGGTAAGTTCTTATTGGCAGAGGAGTTCAGGAAATGTCGGCTCCAGCTCCGGTTCCGGTGCTCACAACATACATAGCACCACATGGCTGCTCCCCCTGCTTGCACACCTCCGGGGACAGGGTACTCACCACTCTGGGAGACAGCACATGCGCTTAGGGAAAGTACGCTCGGTCCAGAGGTCCCTCTGACATTAGGCTGGTCCCACTCAGGCTATCCTCATGTATGTGGAGGTAAACTCCGCCAAGGACAGACCACCTCTCCTAGGACCTCTCCCTTTCTGGCCGTCCACTGGTTTATCTATGCCTCTCTGTTGGGCAAGGAGCTTCCTTTCCTAGAAAAGAACTCTGGGTACCAGAGAAAATGTCCCAGGAATAGCCCAGGCATAGGGGTGAGGAGGGAGTGAGCAGACACCATCCCTGGCACAATGGGGACCTGGAGGGAGGCAGAAAGAGACCTGGGCTTCAGAATGGCCTTGGCCTGTCAGGGTCCAGTGCTCCCGCGGGAGAGAAATATATGACTCACCAGAGACTGTGGACTAAGCCAGATCTCCGGGATGACAGTGAGGGATCTGAGACCAGAAGAAACTGCCCCAGGGTCACACATCCATTAAGAACGGAGCTGGGACTGCAAAGATAGGGCAGGGGGGCCCAGCGAGGGGCATCAAGGATGAAGCCCTGGTGCTGGGGGTCCACTGAGACCCCGGTTACCGCTGGGCTGGGAGCCAGGACAGGGCAGGGCTCCTCCTCCTCACTAGGTGCTCGCTGGTGGAGACAAATCAGTACATCCAAGGATTTGTAGCAGAGCCGAGGCCCCATCTGTCTGGCATCACAGCTCTTCCTTCGCTTTGCCTGGTCTTTTGCCTTGTTTCTACAGAGGCCGCACTGACTGCATGTCAGCCTTGCTCTTTTCTTTTAATCGTTAGAGGGAAGGAACGGTACACATTTCACAGGTGTCATTGTGCACTGCAAAACAGCACGCCCATTAAGCCCTCCTCCATTGCATAGATGCTCATGGTACCCTCAAGTTCAGCCCCACCCTTGATGTATGTGGGAGAAGCCTGGGTCCTGGCAGGTGCTGGCACACAACCCATCTTGTGATTACCAGTCCCCCAGTGCCCCTTCACCGAAACCTGCTCTGGTCATTACAGCATCACTCGGGGGCGTAGGGTGGGGGTGGTTGTAGGTCTTGACCCCGGAGGAAGAGGAGGAAGGGTGCCGCTGAACCCTGACAGGGCTCTTGCTTGCAGAGCTCTGAGAGCTGGCAAGACCGCAAAGACTAATCCGGGCTCAGGAAAGCCCAGCCCGGAAGAGAGAACTTCGTGAGTCTAGATACCTGGGCAAAGCCTGGGGCAGTCAGGGAAGGCTTCCAGGAGGAGGTGCCACCTGACCTAGGGCTTGAATCATGGAGGGAAGATGAAAGGCATCCCAGGTGCGGGGGTGTGAGGCAGCACTGTGAGTGTGTGGGGGAAAGTGAGATGAAGACAGCTGGGCTGGAGAGGTGGGCAAACCAGGGTGGGCTGGACCTGGTATGGCTGGGTAGAGCACCACAGAAGGCTGGATTGTTCCAGCTTCCGTTGAAGGACTACATCCATGCAGAAAAGTGTGCATATCCAAAGTGTAGCTTGACAAATTGTCACAAAATGAACACAGTCATGTAACCACCATGCAGATCAAGAACATTCCAGAGGCCCCAGAAGCCCCTATGTGCCCCTCCCTGTCCCTGCCTCCCCTCCAGGACAGTGACTTCTGATTTCCAACAGCATGCTGCCAACAATACAAACACCCCAAAACTTCATGGCTTCAGACAAACGACCACCATTTGTTATGTCTCCTGGTTCTGGGGTTTGCCTGGACCATCCCTCTGCTGGTTTCCGTTGGGCTCATGTGACTCTAGTCACCTGAAGGGCCGACTGGACCAGAAGGCTGGTGGTGATGGGCTCAGTCACATCTGGTGGTCGGCACTGGCTGTAGGCTGGGTGGCCTCGGTTGTCCCCCATCCTCCAGTAGGGGAGATTGGCCTCTGACGGGGCCAAGGTCATGAACAGCATGCCCCAAAGACCTAGTCTCTGTAAGCCAGAGAATATTCCTTTCAGGAAGTCCTATTGGTCAAAATAGGTCTCAAGCCCAGCCCAGGTACAGGGCATCGAGAACAGACTCCCCCGCCTTGATGGGAGTCACCACAGCGAAGAATCTGTCGCCCTGTTTAGTCGACCACAAGCACAGAGTAGTCTGCCTGGTCTTGACCTTTCTGTAAATGGGGCCCTTAAGCATATTCTGTATCGCGTCTGGCTTCCTTGGGTTGTCGGGTGTGTGAGATTTCTCTCCATCCTTGGATCTAGTTGCAGATCCTTTGTCCTCATTGCCGTGGTTTTTATTCCACTGTGTGGGCCACCAGGTGTCCATGCTATGGCTGATGGCCTTTGGGAGGCTTTTGGGTGGGGGGGTGGGCCATTACAAATAGCACTGCTCTGAACATTCTAATACATGTCCTCGGGTGCCCCACGCACGCGTATCTCTAGAGGTGGAGTTGCTGGGGTGCGATAAGCCACTTGGAAGGGTGGGAGACACTTCCAAACTAGTTTCTAAGGCAGTGGCCGGTGCATGCCCTTCCAGCCGTGTTTGGGAAGGCCGCAAAGGCTTTGCAGTGGGGAGCAATGTGTCTATGGGGCTTTTAGGAAGTCCTCCTGGCTGAAGATCTCTGACCCGGAGGCTCCCTGTAGTGTCCCTGATGGACCCACCTCGAGTCACAGGCCTCCAGGCTGGAGGAGGTAGAGCCATCAGACCAGCTGGCCTCCTGGACCCCCAAGACTCGGGGAAGCTGTGTGCCTGCAGCGCTGGCCCATGAGGACGCTGGAGCTGGAGGGGCTGCCATGATGGCCTCCATCCGTGACAACTTGGGGCAGTGGGTCAAGCAGTCCCCAAGGAGATTGGGATCTACCTCTGGCCTTGCCTCTCTTTTACCGTGAGCCCCTGGGAGGAAACCCTTTCCCCAGCAGGGCTTTGCTTTCCACATTTGGGAATCAACAGAGGAGTATCAACCTCACCAAGTCTCTTACCTCTTTCCAGCCCCAAGGCTGTATTCTGGAATGTAACAGGGAGGGGCATCAGGAGGCCCTTGGAGAGCTCATTGGGCTTCCTGAATTAAAGACACATGTCAGGGGCACCTGGATGGTTCAGTCGGTTAAGCGTCTGCCTTCAGCTCAGGTCATGATCCCGGTGTCCTGGGATCAAGCCCCACATCCATCCGACCTCCTGCTCAGTGAGGAGCTTGCTTCTCCCTCTGACCCTCCTCCAGCTCACTCTCTCTCTCTCTCAAATAAATAAATTTTTAAAAAAATAAACAAGTACATAAATCTCCAAGACACATGTCAGTTGGCCAGTTTTCTTCATCTTATTCACTAAACACCTTCACTGCCCCGTCCATCAGTCACTCGTTTGTTTGTCCAACCATCCCTCCAGCAGTCACTGGCCTTTCTAGCCTCAGAGGAGAACGATAAACTCAACTCCATTCCTGTGGTCCAGGAGCTCCATTCAGGGAGGAGACTGGCCTCCAGAAAGCTGGAGAAGACACGGTCAGCCAGACCCCAGGCCCCTGGGAGGCGAACAAGGGAAGGACGGGCCGATCCTGGAGGGCTCAGTGGAGGCACCTGAGCAACGTCTTGAAGGCCAGCGGGGCCCGGAAAGACAGAGCAGTGGGGGACAGGGCTCGGAGCAGAGCACCAGATGTGACCCGCGGCCCTGAGGTGTGTGTGTGCCCGTGAGATGCTGCTGTTGGAGCCGGGGCCTGGGCCAGGCCTCTAACACCAAGTTCAGGAGACAGGCTCTGCCTGGGGAGCTGGGAGACTGCGTCCAGTTTCTGGAATGGCTCCACTTTGAGGGGGTCAGCTCAGCCTTCCAGGACATGGCCAGAGGAGCCTGGGCAGGCAGAGCTAGGAGGTCAGTGGGGCAGATGGGGGCCACCTGCAAGGTTGGCTTGGAGCTAGCTCACTGTGCCCTCTGGTCTGTCTTGCAGGCCTTGCTGTGCTGTGTTTGGCCAAGTTGGACCGCGGGGGCTGTCGCCTTCTTCCCACCTCGGCCTCCTTTTCCTAACGCCCTTAGCAGCCTTGAGTCCCGGTCGTCTGCAGAGGCTTCAGCAGGTAAGCAGGACGGACTGGCCCCCGGCGCTGTGCGTCTGGTGCTGTGGGGCTGGGGAGCTGAGGAACGAGGGGACAGGGCTTATTTCTCAGTTTTCACTTCCTTCTTGGCTGCCTCCTCTCAGAGGGAGCCAGACAGTGGAGGGGGTTGCATCCTGGCCTGGGACTGGGATATTGGGTTTTGCGTTGTTGCCAGGGCCCATGTGGCCTTAGACGGGCCTGTCTCTCCCCAGCCCTCTCATCTGTACTGAGAATAGTAATGGCGGACGCGCTGACCCCGTCTCTGTGTGCCAGGCACCACACTAAGTGCTGTGTTGTTATTAACTCTTTCCATCTGCACACCAACCTGTGAGGCAGGTACTGGAATCAGGTCCACTATAAAGGCAAGAAGACTGAGGCTTGTGGTTGGGAAGGAACTTGCCCAAGGTCACGTACCTGGCTAAGCCCCCATGGGTATCCCTTTGGGTCTGTGTGGCTCCAGTACACCCATCCCTAATCCCTCCTAGACCGTTCTGTCCCTGGCTGTGCCCACCTCTGCTAGCCTCTTCCTGGGGGCAGGAACTGAGGCAGTCATGGGGTCTTCAGAAGGGCCAGTCCTAACCCAACTTACAGCAAAGGGAGGGGACTCCCACAAGGTGACAGGCTGCGGTGACCTGGGGTCATGCCTCATTTGTGGATGTGGTGTGACATGAATCAGGCCTGGCCTCTGCGGTCCCCAAAGTGGTACCTAGGGCCCCTTCTAGAGGAAGAACATGCTGTCTAGATAAGGTTCTCTCTCCCTCTGCCTCCCTAGTTCAGTTTTCCTAGCTTGTATTAGGCACTTACTGTATGCTAGGCCTGGTGTCTGGCCCTAGGATAGAGGGGAAAGGGGCTCATCTTATTCAGGGAGATCACAACAAATGTTATACAAGCCCTGTACCAGTGCAGTGGACAGTGCTGAGAGTTTGGGGGTGGGCATTCCAGAAGAGGTAACCCCAAAGTGAGTAGCATTGTAAGGAAGACAGGAGCAGGGGATGGGTAGGAGAGCCTGGCAGGAAGGGGGATGAGGTTGGCAAGGGGATGGGAAGATTGTAAAAGCTACAAGTGCCAGGATGGAGAACTGGATCCCAAAGGCAGTGGGGAGCCATGGAAGGTTCAAAGTGAGATAGGGGCCTAATGAATGTGGCTGCATTGGAGAGGCTATCAGAAGGGCCCTGCTGCAGGAGTGAAAACGTAAGACACCAAGGCAGGGAAGTTGGCAGGGGTGCAGTTGGCTGGGGGTGGGGGTGAGGCATGAGGGTGGGAAAACTGCCATGATGCCAGGTGGGGGGTAATGATGGAGCTCTGCATGAGTATGGGGAGTCTGGAGTCTAGGAAGTGTTCTTGGAGGCAGTGGGCCAAGTTGTGGTCCAGTGTTGTCTCTGAGAGGGCCAAGATTTTCGTGAGAAGGAAGATGATTTGGGTGGTATGGTGGTTAAAAATGGGCATGATGTTCTCAGCTATAAATACCGATATACATATAAGTTCCAGAAGATTCTCCCCACCCACAGTCAAACCTGTATCCGTGAATAGCTATGCACACACGCTTGTGCACACAGACACGCAAAGCTGTCCATGTGTGCCGAGGGTATACAGATGTGCGTGCACACCCATGTGCAAATGGGCACGCATGCACAGATGCACGCGCTGATACCCGGAGGAATGCTCCCTCACACACGCATGTACACAGACATGGCTCACGCACACCACAAACATACACGTGTGCATGCAGACTTGTATGCACGTACACACCCACAGACGCCTTCACAAACTCCCATGGTGAAGCTCCACAGCCGCTGGGCACAGGCCCTCCCAGTGCACACGGTCCCCCACACGCACGGAGGGGGCGCTCCTGTGTGCACACAAAGGGGCTCTGTTCCAGGGAGAAGGAGTCTTTCGGGGTTCAGTGGCTTCTCGCCTGTCAGAGCTTCCATGGCACAGGGAGTTGCAGGGTCTGTCTGGTGTGGAGGGTTAGTCTGTGTGTGGGGAAGAGGTTCGGTCAGGACCTCTGGGAGACAGGAGAGGAGGATAAATCTGCCAGCTTGCTTTAGAGACCCAAAGCGACCGAGCACAGAGCCCAGCTCTTGCAAAGTCGCAGACAGGTGAAAGTTTTCACCTGCCCTTCGCTGGCCCTGCCCAGCTCCCCAGCCCATGTCCATCTGAATCCACTAGAATCGGGACTGGCTATGTCATTTGTGGGGCCTACGGCAAGACAAAAAATAAGAGGCTCGTTATTCACAAATGATTATGAGTTTGGTGGCCACAGAGCATCATGGGTCCTTCTAAGCATGGGGCCCTGTGCAGTTGCCCAGGGAGCCCGCTCTGCCCGTATGAAGCGGAGTGATTGCAGGATTAAGTGCCAGGCACTGAGTTTGTGTGCAGTCTCCACCAGGAACTTACCAGCCCAGAGACCTTGGGCGAGTCCCTTGTTGCCTCTAGGAGTCTTGTCAGCCAAGGGGAGAGATGTGCCCCTCCTTCCCCAGTGCTAGCATCCATCTTGTCCCCAGCAGCCTGGGACAATGGCTTCAGCTGGAGTGAGATTTAGATCCCCTCTATCAGGCAGTGGTGTCAAGGATGCCCTGACCTTTGGCGGCCTGGTTTGTCTGTGCTTTGCCAAACCCACCAAGGGCAGAGGTGGCTGGGAGCGTCTGCTCTGTGTTTTATTTGCAGAGTCTTCTGCCTGATTGTCTTTTGCCTGCCCACCTCTGCTTGGCAGACTCGCTGTAGCTCAGATGCCATGGAGCCTTCTCTGACCCCCGCCTCTCTCTCCTGACCTTCGCCCTGGGACCCTTCCAGGAGCTACCATGACCCCTTGCCCTGAGACTTCTCTACCACGTGCAGAGCTTGTTCACACCCCAACCCATCACTGAACAAGCCCTTGAGAGGTCCCCTCCTATGTGTCAGACGGGAAACAGAGGCTCAGAGGTACAGACCGCACCCTGGCACCTGGGTGAGGGCAGGCCCGCAGCAGCCAGGGGTGTGGGCAGTGACAGCAGAAGGAGGCCCCTGGGCTCTGCTCTGGGCCAGCTTCCCATGTCAGCATTCTGGAAGACTGGCTTTTCCCCCTGGGAAAGAGCTCTAGCCTCTAGCCCAGTAGAGACCCCAGAGGTGTGTGGGGTGCCAAAGAGGGCCCGGTGGAGCTGGAGGGCTGGCCAGCTGGAAGAGACCAAGCCCCGGCCCTGCTCCTCCCTGCGGTGACTTGGCCCCGTTCCCGCAGCCAGGCGGCCTGCAGCCAGATGTGTGTGGTTCTGGAGCATCAGGTGCAGAGGTGAGAAGGCCCCAGCTGGTCTGGGCCATAACGGCCTACAGAGGCTGGACACAGAGAGAGGGTCTCTCGTCGGGGGCGTGACCGCAGGACCGTGTAGCCGGCAGTTGGGAACAGCTTTGTGAACGGCTTCGGCCGGTACCTGCAGAAGGTCCTGACCTGATCAAAGGTACAGACTGTGGGCCGAGGCTTCGGGGTTTTCCAGCTCTGCCACTCCTCTTCGTGATGCCAGATTCGTGGCTTGACCTCTCTGTGCCTTATATTTCCTCGTCATTAGAATCGGGATACTGGCAGGACATAACTCACTGTGTTGTGAGGAATTCGGTCAACTAAGCCATGAGAATCTCGGCTGCTGTGTCTAGAATGTGGTTCGCACCCCACCGCGTGCGGGTGGATGGTGGGCAAGCAGCTGGAGGACAGCGGTAGAGTGGACCTGAGCGCTGTGGGCACACGGAGGTGGCGGACTGCGGGGGGTGACATGGCTGGTGTCATTTAAGAAAAGACATAGGGAGACAGCAGCATTGGGGCTGGGCTGGATTCGAGTTTCATGAGATAATCACAGTTGTTGATCCCAGCTCTGTGGGCAGAGACATGGGGTGACAGCCACACTCCCTGGCCAGCCCCTCTGGCCCCTGGTTTGTGACTTTGGGTTGCCAGCATGCACACCATCAGCTGTCAGTCAGCAGACTTCCCGGGTTATATGGAGCAAGCGGCCTTGGGGCTGGCTGCAAAGACCTTGACAGCAGGCCTGGCCGTGGCATTCCCCGGGGCCCCATGGGGCGTGCCTGTCCATCTTCGGCACCAGCTGAGAATGCACACCCCGTTCTCCTTGCCTGGAATTTGTTGCCCGTGGCCCAGACCCCTCCACTGCCAGCCTGGGAAGCCTGCCCTGAGCCCACATCCCTGAACCCAGCTGGAACTGGAGATCGTCTTCAGCCCCCTGATCATTCCTGCCCCAGGTAGACCACTCTCGGTCAGCAGGGCAGGGCTGCTGCCCTGGCAGGTCCTCCGAGCAGGACTTTGTTCAAACCTCAGCCCTGCCACATACCTGCTGTGTGACCTTGAACAAGCTGCTGCCCTTCTCTGAACAGTTCTGTATGGGTACATAAAATCAGAAGGCTGGCACCCGTCGGGGGTCACAGCCTGCAGTGGTCTCCGGGGCTGTGATAGCCCAGTGAGGCCGAGACTATCTTCTAATACAGATAAGGAAACTCAAAGCACAGAGAGGTTAGGAAGCATCCCCAGGATCACAGAGCTATTGGTAGAGCTGGGATTCAGGCCAGTTTTATTTGACACCATAATATGTGTTTTCTCCACTACAGCAAACTGTGATGGGTACTTGGGTACTCCCGGGCGATCCGTTCACTCTGCCAGCCAGAGACTGCTGAATGTTTACCAGGCTCTGGTCCCATACTAGGCACTGGCATCCAAAACTGAATCTGCATCTGAGAAGCTGAGTGAGCACAGCCCTGGGCTTCGAAGTCCCAGGGTCTCCAGTGCAGGACCTGCTAGCAGGGGGCCCTCAGCAAGTGAAGGGTGAAGCAGCTGGGAGGAACAGCTCTTCCGATGCTAGAGGAGGCAGCCTGCGGGACTGCCTTGAGGAGGAAGCTGGATCCCTATGCAGAGTGGGAGAATAGGGTCTTTCTAGGGTCTCTGAACAACTTGGAACACCCTGTGGGGTGTTGAGTTGGAGAGGAAGATTCATTGAGCCACAACTGGA